AAAAAAAAAAAAAATGTCTATAAAGGTCTTGGGAGGGAAGTGATAAAGAAATAAGGGTCGAAAAACACTGAACCTAGATATAGATAGGAACATCTTACATAATGCAAAAGACTGAATATTTCTCCTTAAGATCAGGAGCAAACAAAAATACCTGTTTTCACAGCTTCTATTCAGCACTGAGCTGGAGTTACTAGTCAGCATGAGAAATAAAAGACAAAAGCATAATGCCATCCCTCCCGCAAAAAGCATATACTGGAATGAAGTAAAAAAAAAATTTTAAGATTTATTTATTTTTGAGAGAAAGACAGCAAGTGAGGGAGAGAAGGACGGGACAGAAGATTCAAAGCAGGCTCTACACTGACAGGAGCAAGCCTGATGCACGGCTCGAACTCATGAGCCGTGAGATCATGACCTGAGCCAAAGTCAAAGCCGATGAACTGGGTCCGAGCCACCCAGGTGCCCCGGGCAAATGTGTTTTGCTCCCCTCAGGGTGATGGTTATTCACTATGAAACTCAAGGAGGGCTTCCTGCCTGGCTTGGTCGGAAGAGCATATGGCTCTTGATCTGGGGGCTATAAGGTTTGTGCCCCACGTTGGGTGGGGCGCCTGGGTGGTTCAGTCAGTTAACTCTCTGAATCTTGGTTTCAGCTCGGTTCATGGAATTGAGCTTGGGAAGAGCTGGGCGCTTGAGTTCTTTACATGAGAGCATTTCCTGCTTGGGATTCTCTCTGCCTCTCCCCTGCTTGCACTCCCTCTCCCTCTCTCTCTCAAATAAACTTAAAAAAAAAAAAAAACTTAATAAAGAAAACCCCACGTAATCTACAAAAAAAGCTACAAGAACTAATAAGGAGTTTTAAGTGCTAAAGATTGACAAACTGAACAAAATCAATATATTTCTTTGATGTTGTCACGAGTAACCAGAAATTGAATTTTTAATATCATTTATATAACATCAAAAAACCATGAAGTGCTTTAAGATAAATTCAATTAATAGGTAAGAACAATACATGGAAAGCCTCCAGTGGCTCAGCTACTTTGAGCATCCGGCTCTTTGATTTCGCTCAGGTCATGATCCCAGGGGGGGATGGAGCCCAACAAAGAAGCTCCTGTTCAGCGTGGAGCCTGCCTAAAATTCTCTTTCTGTCCTCTCACACTGTCTCTTCAAAAAATAAATTTATGGGCCTAGGTGGCTCAGTTGGTTGAGGGTCTGACTTCAGTTTGGGTCATGATCTCATGGTTCATGAGTTCAAGCACCATCGCTGGCCTTCCTCTGCTGTCAATATAAACTGTTTTGGATCTTCTGTCCCTCTCTCTCTCTCTCTCTCTCTCTTCTTCTTCTCTCTGCCCTCTTCCTCGCTTGTATGTTCTTTCTTCTCAAAAAATAAAACTTAAAAAAAAAAAAAAAGACTAGAATAACAAAAACAATTTTGAGAAAGAAGGCATTTAGAGGATTTATACCATTATTTTATTTAATCTATTTATTTTTTGGGAGACAGAGCATGAACGGGGGAGGGGCAGAGAGAGAGGGAGACAATAGACCGGAAATAGGACATCCGTGCCCCGAGCTATCAGCCCAGGAGTCTGACGCTGGGCTCAACTCACGGGAGGCAGATCGCACCTGGTTGAAGTCGGACGCGCTTTTAATCGACCAGCCACCCAGGCGCCCCTATACTATTTCATTTTAAGACTATACAGCTACAGGAATTTAAGGCACTGTGGTAATATAACAGCAGAGATGTACACACATATATAGTCAGCTGATTAGGTAATGAAGGTGCCAAGATAATTCAGTTGGGAAGAGATAGTTCAACAACTGGTACTGGGATAATTGTGTATCTGTACTAAATAAAGTGAGCTTTATTTGTTTATTTTTTAGTGTTTATTTTTGAGACAGATAGAGTGGGGAGGGGCACAGAGAGAGGGAGACACAGAATCTGAAGCAGGCTCTAGACTCTGAGCTGTCAGCACAGAGCCTGACGTGGGGCTCAAACTCATGAACCGTGAGATCATGACCTGAGCCGAAGTCGGATGGACACATAACTGACTGAGCCACCCAGGCGCCCCAAATGAGCTTTATTTTTACCCACACGATATATCAAAAGTAAATTGTAGGCCTAACCATAAAAAGCTAAAACTACAAAATTTCTAGAAAAAAAAAAATAGAAAATCTTTGTGTCCTTGGGTTGGATAACTACTTATATGGACACAAAAAGCGAAAGAAAAATTGTTACCAAATTTGAAATATTTTGCTCCTCAAACAACACTTTGAGTAAATGAAAAGACAAGCCACAGATTGGGAGAAAAGATTTGCTGATTGCCTATTTGTTAAAGGACTTGAATCCACCATAAAGAGCTCTCACAACTCAATAAGAAGACAACAACCTGATTTTTAAGTGAGCAAAAGATTTGAACAGATACTTTATCAAAGAAGATAGATCAATGGAAAATAAAGGCATTAAAAAAATTACCACTACTCATTTGGAAAAGGAAAAAATAAAACCGTAACGAGAACCCCCTCTACCCACTTAGAAGGCTAGAATTTTAGAAACTGACAGTACCTGGTGTTTCCAAGAATGTGGAGGAACTAGAACTCTTAACAGTTGCTGGTAGGAATGGAAATTGGTACCATCCTTTTGGAAAACGGTATGACCATGTCTTATAAGTTTAAACATAAATTTTCCATATGACCCAGCATCCCACTTCTACATGTTTATGAGAGAAATGAAAATGTGTCCACACATGGGGCACCTGGGTGGCTCAGTTAGTTGAGTGTCCGACTGCAGCTCAGGTCATGATCTCACAGCTTGTGAGTTTGAGCCCAGAGTTGGGCTCTGTTGCTGACAGCCCAGAGCCTGGAACCTGCTTCGGATTCTGTGTCTCCCTCCCTCCTTCCCTCCGTCAATCTCTCTCTCTCTCTCTCTCTCTCTCTCTCTCTCCCTCTCTCCCTCCCTCCCCCACGCTCGTGCTTTCTCTCTCTCTTTCTCTCTGTCTATCCATCTCATAAGTAAACATCAGGGGCACCTGGGTGGCTCTCTTGGTTAGGTGTCTGACTTCGGCTCAGGTCACAGTCTCACGGTTCGTGGGTTTGAGCCCTGCGTCAGGCTCTTTGCTGACGGCTCTGAGCCTGGAGCCTTCTTTGGATTCTGTGTCCCGATCTCTCTCTGCCCCTCCCCACTTGTGCTCTGTGTCTCTCTCAAAAATAAATAAACACATAAAATAAATAAACATTTTAAAAAATGAGAAAAGAAAATATGTCCACACAAAAGATTGTACTTGGATATTAATAGTAGTTTTATTCATAATAGCCCCAAATTGGAAATAATCCAACTGTTCACCAGCTGGTAAATGGGTAATAAAAATGTATATCCATACCACAGTATAGTATTCAGCCATGAAAGGAAATGAATTGCCAATACATGAACAATATGGATGAATCTCCAATCATGCTAAATGAAATAAATCCAACACAAATGACTATATACTGTATGCTTCCAGTTATATGAAATTCTAGAAAAAGCAAAAATGTTAGTGTTAGGAAGTTGACCACTGGTGACCAGGGGTTAAGAAAAGGCTATTGACTTTAAGCAAAGGGCTCGAAGGAACTTTAGGAAGGAAGATGGAAATGTTCTATATTATGATTGTGGTAGTGCTTATGCAGCTGTATACATTCATGAAAATTCATGGGAGTGCACACTAAATTGTTGGATTTTTTGTATGTAGATACAATAAATAACAGTAAATCACTGAAGTAGATTTTTTTGAGTTAGATACTATCTTCTTTGGCTGAAGAGAAAATTGGCCTTTAGGATCTGAAACTCTGACTCACTAAGAGGGATACATCTTATGACCCTAGTAATATAAATAAAGTCATTTCATTTCTGTTTCAGAGACGGAGGAGATGGGTGATGAAGAAGTTTTCTCCTGGTTGAAGTGTGCAAAGGGGCAGTCCCATGAACCAGAGAATCTCATGCCTACACAGATTATCCCTGGCACAGGTAAGGGAGTTCTTTTTTTTTTTTTTTTTTTAAAGTTTATTTCTTTTGAGAGAGAGAAAGAGTATGCAAGCAGGAGAGGGGCAGAGAGAGAGAGAGAATCCCAAGCAGGCTCTGCCCTGCCAGTGCAGAGCCCAACTTGGGGCTTGATCCTATGAACTGTGAGATCCTGACCTGAGTGGAAATCAAGAGTTAGATGCTTAAATGACTGAGCTGCCCAGGCACCCAAAGGAGTTTTTTTTTAAATTTGATCAAAGAGTGGCTCCTGGCTGACTCAGTCAGAGGAGCATGTGGCTGTCGATCTTGGGGTCATGAGTTCGAGCCTCACATTGGGTATTGAGATTACTTGAATAAAAAAACTTAAAAAATAAATAAGTAAATAAATAGGGGCACCTGGTTGGCTCACTCAGTTAAGTGTCTCACTCTTGGTTTAAGCTCAGGTCCTGATTTCTGGGGTTCGTGGGATCAAGCTGCGCATCCGGCTTTGCTCTGACAGCAGGAAGCTTGCTTGAGATTTTCTCTCTCCTTCTCTCTCTGTTCCTCTCCCACTTGCACACTCTATCTCAGAATAAATAAACCTTAAAAAATATTTTTAAGCAAAGAAAAAATAAAAATACATAAATTTGGTGGAAAAAAAGTTTTTTATTTAGTTGAGGTTTAATTCATATATCATAAGATCTGGTAAAATGGTTTTATCTCAGCCTGATTTTTGTTAAGCTTCCCCAGATTTTTCTGAGTATTTGAATCTTCAGATATGTGTTAGATTCTATGCAGCCATTGCACACACTATGCCTCACCTTTCAGGTTAGAGAAGTTGGTTACTTTTCTACATAACATTTTACATTCCTGTGGTTGGCAGGACCAGAATAGAAAAAAGTCCCACATGCTTCCAGAAAGACCTTTGCTTTTAGGCTTGTAAAAATCCAGCTGAAGGTAAGCAAACCTTTTGAATCCATGAAGGCAGCCTATGAATGGTCATGTTTATGTCACTATTGAAATCATTATTTCAATGATTCCTCCAAAAAATGTGTTTTCACCTTCCATACTTACAATAACACACATTGAAGATGATCAATCTACTGCCTATATTCTCCTCCAGTGTGACAGAGGGCACTCGTTGAATCCTTTATACCCTAGCGCTTCCAAGCAGAGGGGCTCCCTCAGGGCACTGGTAGGATGCTTGCTCCCTACTGATCTAAGCATTGGTTAAATGTTCACTTTAAGTTTACATTGGTCTACTTTTTCCCCACTTTTCCTTTTTTTTTGATATAAGTTAAAGTATATAAATCTCACGTGTACAATTTAAAATGTTTTGACATAGGTGGAAGCCTGGAGTCAGCTGGTCTGGCGTCTGACTTCAGCTCAGTGATCATACTCATGAGTTTAGTAGAGTTTGGCTTCATCGGGCTCTTTGCTTGACAACCGAGCTGGAGCTTGCTTTTGAGATTCTGTAGGCTTCCCTCTCTCTCTCTCTGCCCCTCCCCCACTCACGCTGTCTCTTTCCGTCAAAAATAAAGAAAACTAATTTAAAAAAATTAAAATGGGGGGCGCCTGTGTGGCTCAGTTGGTTAAGCGTCCGACTTCAGCTCAGGTCATGATCTCGCGGTCGGTGAGTTCGAGCCCCGCGTCAGGCTCTGTGCTGACAGCTCAGAGCCTGGAGCCTGCTTCGGATTCTGTGTCTCCCTCTCTCTCTGACCCTCCCCTGTTCATGCTCTGTCTCTCTCTGTCTCAAAAATAAATAAACATTAAAAAAAAAAATTAAAATGTTTTACATGCTCTTGAACGGAAGGGAATCTACCCCCTAGAGTTTCTCCTGCAAGACACCTTAATATTTACTGTAACAGGGAGAGAGTGTAACTTGTTAAGAGTACACAGAACTTTAGGCTAGTTATACTTGGGTTAAAGTATTAGTACTTCCATTTACCAACTATATGTATTTGAGAAATGATGTTCTCTGAGTATCAGTTTCATCATCAAAAATTGAGAGTATGGGGTGCTTGGCTGGTTCATTTGGTGGAGTATGAGACTCTTGATCTTGGGGTTGTGCGTTCAAGTCCCACATTGGCTGTAGAAATTATTTAAAAACTAAAATCCTTAGGGGCACATATCTAGCTCAGTTGGTAGTGTATGGCACTCCTTATTTTTATTTTTTTAATGTTTATTAATTTTTGAGAGATGGAGACAGAGCATGAGTGGGGAAGGGACAGAGAGAGAGGGAGACATAGAATCTAAAGCAGGCTCCAGGCTCTGAGCTGTCAGCACAGAGCCCAGCGCAGGCTCGAACTCACAAATGGTGAGATCATGACTTGAACTGAAGTCTGATGCTGATTGACAGAGCCACACTGGTGCCCCACACATGGGCCTCTTAATCTCAGGTTTGTGAGTTCAAGCCCCATGTTGGGTGTGGAGCCTGCTTAAAAAATGAACTTAAGAAAATAGTCTTTTTGTTGTTGTTGTTAAGTTTGTTTATTTCGAGAGAAAATGGGAGAGGGGCAGAGAGAGAGAGAGAGAGAGAGAGAGAGAGAGAAAGAAAGAATCCCAAGCAGGCTCCACAGTCAGCACCAGAGCCAGACTCGGGGCTCCATCCCATAAACTGTGAGATCACAACCTGAGCCAAAATCAAGAGTCAGACACTTAACCGACTGAGTCACATAGGTGCCCTAATAAATAATATCTTTTAAAAAATGTTGAGGGTAATAGCTGCCACCTCATTGAAATGTGGGTAAGGATTGAGGAAGATAATGTAAATGAGATCGTTAGCACAATATCTGGCACATAAAACATTCTGAGGCTTCTGTTGCTCTCTTTCTCCCAGCTCTTTACAATATTGGAGACATGGTACATGCTGCCCGGGGCAAGTGGGGAATAAAAGCAAACTGCCCTTGTATTAGTCGGCAGAACAAATCTGTGTTGAGACCTGCTGTCACCAATGGGATGTCACAGGTAAAGTGGTATGTGTGGGTATGAATGAGAGAAACTTCTCTTCTTAGTACCAGGAAATGCCCCATTTTCACCTGTGTTGTCCTAGGCTACTGTAGGATTCCTGAGGAATTAGGGGATGGAGAAGCCTATCTAGAGAGAACCCCCAAAAAGTTACTCAAGGGATTTTAATTCCCTCCAGCTGGTATGAGTTTCTCTTCATTTGTCTTTAAAACCAATTCAGGCTGGGTTGATAAGTAGCACAATGAGATTCTTTTCATCTTGTCAAGATTTATACCTCAGGATCCTTGTATAGGTGAAGAGTATAGAAAAGGTTAACAGGAAGGCAGTCCAATATGTGTGCATGGTCCCTGTCCTTGTCATGTTAGGTACTGAGGACAGAAATATGAAGATTGGCCTGCTGAGCTGGGATCATTCTACTCTGAAAACAATCCCAAGCCTCCAGAGAGGCAGTGGTTTGCTCATTGCTCTATCAGAGGTGGAGGTCATTCCGGTTTGATGGTAACTGTTTTGAACAAGAGGCCGTTTTAAACACACACGCACGCGCGCACACACATACACACACACACACACACAGCTAACTTGCTTATATTTGGAGTGCTTTCCAGGAACACTACTAATTCATGGTCTGTAGGAGGTACAGGAATTAAGGCTGAGGGATCTCAAGATATATTTTCAATAGAGTTGACATATTAGAGCAAATCATGTGGAAAATTCAGTAATAGAATAGTAAACATTTATGGAACATTTATGTATGCCAAACACTCTACTAAGCTTTTTGCATATACTATCTCATTTAATCCTCAGAACAGCTTTATGAGGTCACATTTTAATCATCGGTTTACCATTGCAGAAACTGAGCCTCAGGCATGCTAAATAAATATATTTTAATATTTTAAAATAAATTGTATTATTTATTTTTATGTTCACTGATCTTTTCACAGAACCAAGCATAGTTTCTGTCATGTTGTAGGACTCCTTAAATATGTGTTAAATTAATCAATGAATGAAATAGTTTTTGAGACAGTTTCAGGTTGTTTTCCCAGACTTTTTTAGTGTCAGTAGCCCTTGCTATGTGTTTGTTTGTTTTTTTTCCTACACAAGAACAGCACTCTAACCATGTTGGCCTTCTGTGCTTTAGCTCCCTAGCATAAACCCTAGTGCCTCTTCTGGAAATGAAACCACTTTCTCAGGCGGAGGAGGAACTGCAGCAGTAACAACATCAGAGACTGACCATGTTCCCAAAGCTGACAGCACTGACATCAGATCTGATGAGTCTCTGAAAGCAGATAGTTCGACTTCAAATAGCAATAGTGAGCTAAAAACCATCAGGCCCCCTTGCCCTGACACAGCCCCCCCCTCATCTGCCCTGCACTGGTTGGCGGATTTAGCAACTCAGAAGGCTAAAGAAGAAACAAAAGGTGAGATGAACACAAGCCTCTGCCCTGCCTTTAGGTGGAACCTGGACTTATTCCCGGATTCTTCAAACTCACACATGACCATCCACGTTTATGAAACATGATGCTTGCTTTCTCTGGGTAATCACATAAAATGAGGGAGTTGCTTTCAATATTTTTGCAGAAGTGGAGCTTTTTTAAAAAAGACACATGCCTGGGTACCTGAGTGGCTCAGTTGGTAGAGCATCCGATTCTTGATCTCAGGGTGATGAGTTCAAGCCCCACATTGGGCGTGGAGTCTACTTTTAAGAAAATAAAACATAAAACTTCAAAAGAAAAGGCACATGCCTGGGCTGTACCCCAGACCTCTTTAGTCAGAATTGATAGGAGATTTTTATTAACCTTCCAGGTGGTTCTGTTACGCAGCCAGGGTTGATTTTCCATGGGCCCAAGAGTTGCCTGGGGAATTATTATAAATAGAGATTCCTGGGCCCCACCAGAACTGTTAAATGACATTCTCTTAGAGTACAAACAGGAATCTCCATTTTTAGTAAACACTCCAGGTGATTCCAGTACAAGTATTCTGAAGACCCCCTTGCAGAAACACTATGTTAGAAAGTGAGGGAGATGAAAGATGGATTGGAACAAAAGGAAATTTGAAATCCAGATCTGATAAAGGAAGGAAGAAGTAGGAGACCTTCTCCTTGGCCATGATCCTGCTATAGTCATAACCTTGTCAAGGTTGGCCTGGACAAACTGTATGTAGTTTGTGGACCAGGGAAGGGGAAAGTCCTCCTCCCCTCTTGGCTCATTTTTAGGAGTCATTTGCTTGCTGGGTATTACTTGTCATGCCTAATGCTATTCCTGGTTATGTCCTTACAGAAGCAGGGTCCCTGAGGTCGGTGCTCAGTAAAGAGTCTCATTCACCCTTTGGGCTGGACTCGTTCAACTCCACTGCAAAGGTCTCTCCATTGACTCCAAAGCTTTTTAACAGTCTGTTACTGGGTCCCACTGCCTCCAACAACAAAACCGAAGGCTCTAGCCTTCGAGACCTCCTTCACTCCGGACCCGGAAAGCTTCCTCAAGCCCCCTTGGACACAGGCATACCCTTCCCCCCGGTCTTCTCTACATCCTCAGCAGTAAGTGTCCTTTCTACAACTCTAGCCTTTGCTGCTTTTCCAAGGAAGAGCCATCAGAGATCTGATAACTGGATTAGAGTATATATGGGTAACTTGTGTTATCTGTGTTGTCTGTCCAACTGACAAGTTATTTACATCGCGTTTGGGAAATGTTTGAGATCCGTTTAAATAGTGAACCTTTTGTGCCATGTTAAGAAGTCAATAGGGGTTGGGGCGCCTGGGTGGCGCAGTCGGTTAAGCGTCCGACCTCAGCCAGGTCACGATCTCGCGGTCCGTGGGTTCGAGCCCCGCGTCGGGCTCTGGGCTGATGGCTCAGAGCCTGGAGCCTGTTTCCGATTCTGTGTCTCCCTCTCTCTCTGCCCCTCCCCCGTTCATGCTGTGTCTCTCTCTGTCCCAAAAATAAATAAACGTTGAAAAAAAAAAAAAAAAGAAGTCAATAGGGGCGCCTGGGTGGCTTGGTCGGTTAAGCGTCCGACTTCGGCTCAGGTCATGATCTCACGGTCCGTGAGTTCGAGCCCCGCATCGGGCTCTGCTGACAGCTCAGAGCCTGGAGCCTGTTTCAGATTCTGTGTCTCCCTCTCTATCTGCCCCTCCCCTGTTCATGCTCTGTCTCTCTCTGTCTCAAAAATAAATAAATGTTAAAAAAAATTTTTTTTTTTTAAAAAAGAAGTCAATAGAAATTGAGACATTGAAATTTTCAGTCAGCAGGAATCACTATTTTCTTGACAATAACAGGCATTATTATTTTTTTTAACCTAGACAGTACATTCATACTGCCTTTTCTTGGATATCTATAATAGACACCTAAACCTAACACATCTAAGACCACATGCCTGATCTTCTGCGTATAAGCCTCCTTCTCCTGTAGTTTCCTCTCTTGGTCATGAGCATCTGCATTCTTCCAGTTGCTTGGCCAAAAATCTTGGAGTCATTTGGGACTCCCCTCTCTCATATTTCCTATCTAATCTGCCAGCACATCCTTTTAGTCTGATCTTTAAAATGTATGCAGGGGCACCTCAGTGGCTCAGCCATTTGAGCGTCCAGCTCTCAATTTCAGCTCAGGTCGTGATCCCAGGGTCATGGAATCGAGCCCTGCATCAAGCTCTGTGCTGAGCATGGAACCTGCTTAAGATTTTCTCTCTTTCCTTTTGCCCCTCTCGCTCGCTCTCTCTGTCTCCCTCTGTCTCTCTCAAATAAAAAATAACATGTATTCAGAGTCCACCCATTTCTCATTAGCTCCACCACTTCCTCTCTGGTCTGAGCCAACATCCTCTCTTGCCTGCATGTTTGCAGTAAACTTCTTACAGGTCTCCTTTATTTCTTCCCTTTTCCACTCTATAGTCTATTGTCAATACAGCAGCTTGAGTGGTTCTTTTTAAATATGAGTGGTTTCGTTGACATGATTTTTGTTAGCTCTGCTGAAAATCCTTCAAGGGCTTCCTATTTCTCTGATAATATAAACAGAATCCTTTCAGTGGACAATAATGCTCTAGCTTTATCTGTGCAAGACTTCTTCCTTGCACTTCTTTGACTTCACCCACCACTTTCCTTGTTCACTCTGCTCTGACCACACCCACCTTCTTACTGACCGTGACCAGGCAAGAATCCCTCTTCAGAGCCTTTGCGCTTACCCTTTTCTTCCACTTGGAACTCTCTTTGCCATGTAACCATATGCTTGCTTCATCATTAATTTCATCTCCTCCCTTCTGAAATGTCACGTCCTGTAGGCCTTCTTAAACCACCCTTTGTAAAATCCATCACAGCTCCATCCTCCATATCTGTTTTGTCTGCACTTACTATTTTTTCCATAGCATTCATTACCATGATTGATTTGTTGTCTGTCTTCCCTTTCCTTAAAAGATTTTTGACTGTTTTATTCACTGCTGTATCACTAGTGCCACAGTGTTTGATACATAGTAGGTATTCGGTAAGCATTTACTGAATGAATGAATTCACAAGATAAAAATTTAAATGATGTAGTGAAAAGTCTCCTTCCCATCATCATCTCCCAGCCACTTGTTTTCTTTTCTGCAGGTCAGTCATTGTATGGTTTTTTTCCTCCTTTTTTTACTCAGATGCTCTACACCTTGCTTTTCTGTTTTTAGTGTGTATTGTCTTAGAGATTTCAAACAAGTACATAAATATATTTCTCATTCTATTTTATAATTAGTGGCTAAAATTCAGTGAGCTGTGGATGGTTGAGCCATGTATGATGTGGGTTATTTGTTTCTTTTGCATTAGTGACTTGAAAAAATTACTTTTGGCTCTCTTTTATATGTACTTGCTCTGACCTTCAGTTCTCCTTTTTCTTTTTTGATTTTCCCAGGAAGTTCTATGATTACATGTACTTTGTAGAGATAATAATTAGTGATACTTCAGACTTAGGAATACTTCAAGCTTTTTATAAAAGCCCTCTCGGGGCGCCTGGGTGGCGCAGTCGGTTGAGCGTCCGACTTCAGCCAGGTCACGATCTCGCGGCCCGTGAGTTCGAGCCCCGCGTCAGGCTCTGGGCTGATGGCTCAGAGCCTGGAGCCTGTTTCCGATTCTGTGTCTCCCTCTCTCTCTGCCCCTCCCCCATTCATGCTCTGTCTCTCTCTGTCCCAAAAATAAATAAACATTGAAAAAAAAAAATTAAAAAAAAAATAAAAGCCCTCTCAGTTCTGTGACATTAGGTATGTCACTTTGATTTTTGAGCCTGGTGATTTCATCACCTGGAACGTGTGAGAGATTCTCAGTGGGGTGATAAGCAAGGGAAGAATTGAACATTAGGAGACTACTTTCAGAATATTTAGTTCCTTTTGAATACTTTCATTTACCACTTTTTTGGGATATACTCCCTGGTTAAAAAACAAACAAACAAAAAACCACTGCCTTGGCACCTGGGTGGCTCCGTTGTTAAGTGTCCAATTTTGACCCAGGTCATGATCTCATAATTCGTGAGTTCAAGCCCCGCGTCGGGCTCTGTGCTGACAGCTCAGAGCCTGGAGCCTGCTTTGGATTCTGTGTCTCCGTCTCTCTCTACCCCTGCCCCGCTTGCACTCTGACCCCCTCTCTCTCTCAAAAATAAAAATAAACATTAAAAGAAATAAAAAACACTGCCTTGATAAGTCACTTTATTGTTTAGTTGAAGTATCCTTGGGCATGCTAGACAGAAAAAAATTTATAAGCCTCAAAGTAAATAATCTTTTTCACTCAGTTAAAGCATTTTGTGATCCTTGTGGTCCACATGCAAATCCTTAATACAAGGCTGGATGGTAAAGACATTTCTTAGGTCTCTAGGCTCTTGAGGCAGATGCGATCTTTGCATACTTTTCTTGCATAAATGTAAAGCATAGTATAAAAGATGGAAATTTAAGATACTGACTTCATAAACCCCCATTCAATTACAAAAAGTATCTCAGAAAAAAAAAAAAAAGTATCTCAGAAACGTTTGTGAAACTTAATCAGGTAAGTCATAACTCCTTCTTGTGAGTACAGTTGTGAGACAGTTTTTTGAATGCTCTTCTCATGGTGCCTCATTCATACTTACCTGATAGAATTGTATCTGGCAGGGAGTGAAGAACAAGGCCAGCCTACCCAACTTCCTTGACCACATCATTGCCTCAGTGGTAGAAAATAAGAAAACCTCAGATGCTGCAAAGCGGGCCTGTAACTTGACTGATACCCAAAAGGAAGTGAAGGAGATGGTGATGGGGTTGAATGTGCTGGACCCCCATACATCTCACTCCTGGCTCTGTGATGGCCGACTTCTGTGTCTTCATGACCCCAGCAACAAAAACAATTGGAAGATCTTCCGGGAATGTTGGAAGCAAGGCCAGGTAAGTAAGGATAAGTAGCTACCAGGACCAGCTGGCTGCTTGCCCACCACAACTACAACAATAGTTTCAATTCTGTCTAGGAGATTTTTTGACAGGGAGATTGAGACATAGTAAGTTCACCGAAAACTTCCTTGCTACTTCGATTTTACTTGGATTTAAAAAAATCAGAAGATTCCTAAAAATATATTGTGGTTCCTTCTATTTCTAAGCTCTATAGGTCTGCATTCTGAAAAGGGTAGTTGAAATTTCTGGGAAGTGGTGATCTGGCATTAATGACACTTTTAGAGGAAAATCCTTAAGTGTGATAGGGGTAAGGTGAAGGTGGGTAGAAATGGGTAGTACTTTTCTAGGTAAATGTTCCAAGTCTGCACAAATTTGGATGATAGTGTGATAACACTTCCTAATTTTTATACTTTAGCAGGTGCTTGAAAAACGGGGAGGTTATGGAATTGTCTGGATAGTTCTTCATTCTCACTGTAAGGAAGTGTTCTCAAAGTTGCATTAGTCAGCTTTTTGTCCTCTCACCTCAAAATAGTGGTAGATACCAGAGCAACAGAAGTAATTTCTGTAGCATGCTTCCCAGCATGAAACTCAAAAATTATAATGGAGAAGTGGTTTCCATTTCCTGCACCTGACATGTTGAAACCTATAGATTCTGAAGCTGGGACAGAACAGTAAATCATCATGAAGAAGAGGTTGTCCTCAGGAAACCTATCCTGTCCTTGAGCTCTGAGCTAAAAAGTATTTCCTAAATGGTTCTGATTGGCATATTTTGTTTCCACAGCCAGTGTTGGTTTCAGGGGTACATAAAAAGCTCAAGTCTGAACTCTGGAAGCCAGAAGCCTTTAGCCAGGAATTTGGAGACCAAGATGTGGACTTAGTGAACTGCAGGAACTGTGCTATAATTTCCGATGTGAAAGTTCGGGATTTCTGGGATGGCTTTGAGATCATATGCAGTAAGTAGTTTTGATGACGGCAGACTGGAAAGGAAGTCCAGCTCTGCCCTTGGACACAAATCATACCCCCTTGGCGGGGGGACAGTCTGTCTTGGTGCCAACCAAGCTAGCTCTCCTGGCAATCATTGGCTCCCAGAGCACACCTGGGCTTAAGCACCTTCTCCCATGGGTTGTGTGGAGCACTTTCACTCTTGAGGCTGGAATTCTTGTGAGATGGAAAAATATAGCATGTGTTAAATAAAGCAGTGGGCGAGGAAAACAAAGCTCACCTAGTCCATTAGGATGGGTTACAAGTGTGAAAATAAGTTAGTCTCCTAAAACTTGTAGTCTTTGGAAAACCAGGCAGCAGCCAAACAAGCAGATTGTGGGAGTGCTGTCTGTCTTTCAGAGCGATTAAGATCAGAAGATGGGCAGCCTATGGTGCTTAAACTCAAGGACTGGCCTCCTGGGGAAGATTTTCGAGACATGATGCCCACAAGGTTAGTGAACTACAGTAGGTCATCTTGAGACCCTGTGCCTTGCTGAAGCAGCACAAAGTAATGATAGAAAAGTGGACTTTGCCTCTTTGCTTTTTTCCCTCTTAACAAGCTAAGTCATCTTTCCTGATCTTCTGTAGGTTTGAAGATCTGATGGAGAATCTTCCTCTGCCAGAGTACACCAAACGAGATGGCAGGCTCAATCTGGCTTCTAGGCTACCCAGCTACTTTGTAAGGCCCGATCTGGGCCCCAAGATGTACAATGCCTATGGTATGAAGAAGCCAAAGCTGTAATTGCCCTTTTGGGACACTACTGTTCCCCATTTCACCTATAGAGGGAGATATTTAGTCAAGGTCCTGTGTAGAGCTAATAGAGCACAAAGTGACAGGTGCTAAAGAATTTAACAGTAGCCATAATGGTTTGAGGTTTGTTTGTTTGTTTGTTAAGATTTTTTTTATTTTTAAGTAATCTTTATACCCATTATGGGGCTTGAACTTACAACCCTGAGATCAAGAGTCACATGCTCTACCAACTGAGCCAGGCACAGGCCCCAGGGTGGATTTAAATGCGATGGCTTTTGTCATACTGATTTGTATCACATCTATACTTTGTATATCTACAATAATTAGAAAGTTTCCTCTCAAACATTCTGTGCAAGAAGACATGATTCTTAGTTTTTAAGAACCTTAATAAAATAACAGTGAAGAAGACAGAGTTCCATATCACCCAGCAAGCTCTTTGTGAAGTCACAATAAGGCCATAAATCACTGTGAAAGCCAATTCTCATTTGTATGTCAGTAATGCACATATCTGTTTTGCTTTTAAAGGAAAGATTGTTGGGGTGCCTGGGTGACTCAGTCAGTTTAGCATCCAACTTCAGCTCACATCATGATCTCACAGTTCATGAGTTCAAGCCCTGCATCGGGCTCGCTGCTTTCACTGCAGAGCCTGCTTCAAATCCTCTGTTCTGCCCCTCTCCTGCTCATTCTATCTCAGAAAGAAACATTAAAAAAAAAAAAAAAATAGAGATAGTGTTGTAGGGAGTGGAATTGGTTCAGTGAATGGCCAAAACTATAGTGTCAACCAAGCTAGAAATCAATCTTAAAACACTAGAAAAGAGATGATAGTGATTTTTTTTAATAAACAGATATACTTCACTCTCCCTGTTACCCATTTAAGAACATCTTAGAGTATGTTCTCACTTGTAGAGTTGGTATGGATTTTTCACAATATTGCCCTTTCACCCTGCATATCCTCCTTTTCCCTCAGGCTTAATAACCGCAGAAGATAGAAGAGTTGGCACAACAAACCTTCATTTAGATGTATCTGATGCAGTCAATGTGATGGTGTATGTTGGGATCCCCATCGGGGAGGGTGCTCATGATGAAGGTACTATTTCTGTATACCCTCTACTTCAGGATGGTGAGGCTCAACGTCAGTAGAATCGGATGTCTTTCTCCTCAGGGCCTATGCATAGTAGGTGCCCAATAGATGTTGCTAAGTGAAAGGAGGTTTTAGGAAAGAAGAGTGGTACTTGTGTATCCCTGACCATAGTCATTCTCTTTCTGGGAATGCTCCCTTTTCCACTGAGTATAGAGCATCAGAAATAGGAGCAAAGAAGGAAGGGCAGTCTGGCTCACTTGCCATCAGCCAGATCAGTTTATCAGATGATAAAGCCAGCTTATTTGCGCAGAACAAAAGCATCAAAGTGATATTTTGCTGCATTTTTACTCCCTGCCATCTCAGTATAAAATTAATATGTGTTAATTATGGACATTTTAGAAAATGTACAAAATGTTAAAGAAATACATAATTCAAAATCTCACAGTTCAGGGATTATTGGTGTCATTATTTTGGATATTTGCTGCCACACATTTGCTTTTAATGCGATACACCTGCAGATCCTTCCGTTAGTTGTCCTTTAGAGGATTATAATAGACAAGCATTAGAAGTCTACCCTCTTAACTTGCCAGAGAAGCTTTATGTTTCATGGCCTTATATCCGTAGAACCCTAGAGTTTATAAAGAGGTCTTGAAAAAGTACATGGAGTCTGTCTACTTACAGCAGGAAATAACCTGCATTTTGAACATAAGATGTGGCTAAACAGTTTGAGCAAGAAATATGTTTTAAAAGACTACTCTCCCTCCAAAAAAATGCAGAGTCTCTATTAAGGAAGATTTAGGGTTGCTCTTACTGTGTGTAGAAAGCTTAGGCAAATATGAGTTTTGATTCTTTGATTCTACCTTACATTGCTTCAGAGAGATGGAGAATAGTAGAGACTAAGCTTGTTTGAATTGAACATTTTGCTTTACTCAGAGGAAGTGAAATGACTGGAAAAGTAATTTTGCTCTTTTCAGAGGTACTCAAGACAATTGATGAGGGAGATGCTGATGAGGTGACAAAGCAGAGGATTCATGATGGAAAGGAGAAGCCTGGTGCTTTGTGGCACATCTATGCAGCCAAGGATGCAGAAAAGATCCGGGAATTGCTACGAAAGGTATGCCCCCAAGTAGGCTATCCACTCACGGATGAAGGGTCTGGGGGTGATGAGACCACCTGTTTAGGTTTCTCGTGTGGGGTTTCTTGGCTTTTAAGACCTGTACTTTTGGGACGCCTGGGAGGCTCAGTTAAGTGTCTGACTTTGGCTCACGGTTTGTGAGTTCGAGTCCCGTGTCTGGCTCTGTCCTGACAGCTTGGAGCCTGGAGCCTGCTTCGGATTCTGTGTCTCCCTCTCTCTCTGTGCCTCCCCTGCTCATGCTCTGTCTCTCTCTGTCTCTCAAAAATAAATAAATGTTAAAAAAAAAAAAAAATTAAAGACAGGTACTTTTTGTCCAAATGCCCTGAAGGCCTGAATCCACACCTGGAGGGTGTTGAACAGAATAAAGCAGAAGACTTTGGCCCCACTAGGGACATTGCTGCAGGAAGTTGGGTTTATGCTATAATTTTTATGCATTGATTTTTCCATCTTTGGGTTTGGTTATGGCTTCAGGTTGGAGAAGAGCAAGGCCAAGAGAATCCCCCTGATCATGACCCAATCCATGACCAAAGTTGGTACCTGGACCAGACCCTCCGTAAGCGACTCTATGAGGAGTATGGTGTGCAAGGCTGGGCCATCGTTCAGTTCCTGGGAGATGCTGTCTTCATACCTGCTGGAGCCCCACACCAGGTGGGTTCCACTGGATTCCATAGGCTTCCTTATTTCTGAGTTTCCTACTAATCTGGCAATAGATACATATAAATGGCTGCATTAGGCTGACTGTTCTTAAACTGCAACTTCTTTTTTGCTCTTTAAGTTTCTTCAGTGTAATTCTCAATGCACGTTTGAAAATTTTTAAATAAGGGAGAAAGTGAAAGTCCTAACTCGGCTACTTGTGCCATGCCCCTTTTCCATCCCCTCACCCTGCTTTCTCCAGAAGTAGCTTGTGGTTAACAGTTTGGTATATATTTTTCCAGATCCTCTTCTGTGAGAATACTAACATTTTCATTTATAAATATATACTTGGAATTTTTCTGCTTTTGTTTTTATGACAATGGAATATCATAAGCATTTCTCAAGTTTGGGGGGTTTTGTCTTCTTTTTAAAACTATGTCATGGATATTTTCCATATATTGCTGAACATCTCAGGGCTCTTTTCCCTCTGAACTTTTCCTCTCCCCGGAGTGCAAACTACATTTGCTCCACGGTTACTTTAAAAGTGGCAAGGGCTTTTTATCTCAGGGGCATGTAAAGCACTGTTTCCGCTTCAGCGCCCCTTAAGGAATTTCGGGCATCTCTCCTAACTTTCCTCGCTGACCATGGTTTCAAACTTTGCGAGGTAAATAACTCCTCCTTCCCCCCCACTCTCTCTCCTTATCTCCTGCTTGCCTACATATATAGGATGAGCATTCTGCTTTCCTTAGCCAGCCAGGGGTATTCTCACACCTGGGAGGCTGACCCGCTGGAGAGATGAAGTCACTCTTCCACCCAGGTATTTATTGGGAGTCTCTTCCGGGTTGCTGGGATACACATCTTTTAACCTAGTCATTTCTGCTATCATCTTCTATTTCTCTGCCCCTGGGAGATAAAGTATTTCAGTGTTAATAACTGACTAGACTGACTTTTCCCAGTTAGATGGCGAAAGCACTGTGGCAGAGTGTTCTAAGCATGTTTCCAAGAAGGGCATTTCCCCAGAGCTGCTTCTCACAGCATGTTTCTGTGCAGGCTCCATTCCTTAATGCCCTGCTAGGTACTGCAATCCATATCCCTAAGAATTGTTGGGTGCTTTAGTAGCATTAAAAAAAAAGAAGAAGAAGAAGGAAGCAAGATTTCCCAGGCAGGACTTCAGCAATCTGAATATAGTCTCCCAGCCTCCCGCAGGTAGATTCAGACATCTTCAATCCTGAGTCTCCTCATTTTTGCTGTTCCTTTTTAAAAATTAAGAACATTTCAGGCTGCCTGGGTGGCTCAGTCGGTTAAGCATCTAACTCTTGATTTTGACTCACGTCTTGATCTCTGGGTTCGTGTTCCGAGCCCTGCCTCCAGCTCTGTGCTGACAGAGCAGAGCCTACTTAGGATTCGGTCTCCCTCTCTCTCTGCCCCTCCTGCTTACACTCACTCTCTCTCTCTCAAAAATAAATAAACTTAAAAAATTTTTTTGAACGTTTCAACCTTAAAGTTCTTATTACAAAGTACAATCACATTGATAGATAACATTGATATTATAGATATAATGCAAATATGCAGACATATATATTTTCAGATCTCAGCTCCATTAGGTCTCTATTTATAATATGTCACCTCCAACACTCCCAATCCTCTGTCACTGCTCTATTTTTGTCTGTAGTATTTTTTATTGTCTAACATGTTATGTATTTTTTCTGTTTGTTTGTATCCCTACTAGAATATAAGCTATTTAAACTCCATGAAGGCAGGAATTTTACTCCTTTATTCACTGCTTTTCCCTAGCATGATATCTGATACATACTAGGTACTCAGTAAATATTTGTTGAATTAGGGGCGCCTGGGTGGCTCAGTCGGTTAGGCATCCGACTTGGGCT